TGGCTATAAAGGTACACTACATGTATCTCCAAAAGTGTCTGTTGGGTTGGCACGAATCGAGACTGGGATTTGTCACTCCGTGTAAACGGAGAGGTATCTCTGGGCCCACTCGGTTGGACATCATCATAATGTGCACAATGTGATCAAGGAGTTGATCACGGGATGATGTGTTACGGAACGAGTAAAGAGACTTGCCGGTAACGAGATTGAACAAGGTATCGGGATACCGACGATCGAATCTCGGGCAAGTATCATACCGCTAGACAAAGGGAATTGTATACGGGATTGATTAAGTCCTTGACATCGTGGTTCATCCGATGAGATCATCGTGGAACATGTGGGAGCCAACATGGGTATCCAGATCCCGCTGTTGGTTATTGACCGGAGAGTAATCTCGGTCATGTCTGCATGTCTCCCGAACCCGTAGGGTCTACACACTTAAGGTTCGGTGACGCTAGGGTTATAGAGATATTAGTATGCAGTAACCCGAAAGTTGTTCGGAGTCCCGGATGAGATCCCGGACGTCACGAGGAGTTCCGGAATGGTCCGGAGGTAAAGAATTATATATAGGAAGTGCTATTTCGGCCATCGGGACAAGTTTCGGGGTCACCGGTATTGTACCGGGACCACCGGAAGGGTCCCGGGGGTCCACCGGGTGGGGCCACCTGCCCCGGGGGGGCACATGGGCTGTAGGGGATGCGCCTTGGCCTACATGGGTCAAGGGCACCAGCCCCTAGAGGCCCATGCGCCAAAGGGACAAGAGGAGGGGAGAGTCCTAAAGGGTGAAGGCACCTCCGAGGTGCCTTGGGGAGGATGGACTCCTCCCCCCCTTGGCCGCACCCTTCCTTGGAGGAAGGGGCAAGGCTGCGCCCTTCCCCTCTCCCTTGGTCCTATATATAGTGGGGGGAAGGGAGGGTAACCACCCCAAGCCCTGGCGCCTCCCTCTCCCTCCCATGACACATCTCCCTCCTCCCGCAGCGCTTGGCGAAGCCCTGTTGGAATCCCGCTATTTTCACCACCACGCCGTCGTGCTGCTGGATCTCCATCAACCTCTCCTCCCCCCTTGCTGGATCAAGAAGGAGGAGACGTCGCTGCTCCGTACGTGTGTTGAACGCGGAGGTGCCGTCCGTTCGGCGCTAGGATCATCGGTGATTTGGATCACGACGAGTACGACTCCATCAACCCCGTTCTCTTGAACGCTTCCACGCGCGATCTACAAGGGTATGTAGATCCACTCCTCCCTCGTTGCTAGATGACTCCATAGATAAATCTTGGTGACACGTAGGAAAATTTTAAATTTATGCTACGTTCCCCAACACAGACTCCATCAAATCCTCTCCCCTTCCGTGCAGCAAATCTGACATGGGCGTATCAACTGCCAACTGCCAACTGCCAACTGTCTACTGTCAACTCCTTTCAGGCAGTTGCACTAGTGAATCAAAAACCAAAATAGGCCCGGCCGGGATGCCTCGACAGGAGAGGCATTAATGAGACACGAGCTGCTCACTTAAATGATGAGATCCAGACACCTCATAGCACAAAGAAAAAACATAAATCAATGGACCTGTCACATACTGGCGTGCTGCTCTGATCCATGCGCAGACAGGCCCATGGAGACTCTCCTCTGCATCTAATACAAACCTGAGGCTTGTGTTTTCAGCGTGCACCTTGTTCAGGCAGGCCCATGGAGATCCGGACCAAGGACAACGCATGGCGCCTGCTGCTCGTGCTCTTCCTCGGCCAGCTCGTGGCCTTCTCCATGGCAGCCTGCAGCTTCGCCTCCTCTTTCATTGCCAATCTCGGTACCATCCTTCTCAGCAATCTCCATAGATCCCAAATTATCATTCCTGCAGAACTCGCTAATCTTCTTACTCAATGACCCATCTGCCGCATTGGCCTGATTCCTACACAAGAAATCATCGCTCGGTAAAGCATATAATTCCATGTTTTTATGCAGGAGTTGATGCACCACTTGCGCAATCATTCTGCACACATCTCCTGTTGACCTTAGTTTATGTGCCAATCCTCTTGCATCGACGACACAAGCTGCGGGTGAGCGTAGCTGCATGAAAATCAACTATGGAGCTTATGCGATGTGGTTTCACGTCTCACTGTGTTAGCCGCTCCTGTCTTGCAGATACCTTGGTATTGGTACTTAGTGCTGGCCTTCGTCGATGTCCAGGGAAATTATCTGGGTGAGTACAACAAGCAACACGCATTTCAGTTAGATAGTAAATGCAATCCTTGCTCCTGATGATGTACATATATAACCATCTTATAAACTTCCGTTGCAGTTACTGAGGCGTACCAGTACTCATCCATCACCAGCGTAACATTGTTGGATTGCTGGACTGTTGTATGGGCTATCATACTCACCTGGTACGCACTAGGCACGAGATATTCTTTCTGGCAATTTCTGGGGGCAGGGACCTGTGTGGCTGGGCTAGCACTTGTGCTCCTTTAAGATGCAAAAACTCCAGATGCGCAAGGTAAGGGCAACTCTAATACATCCATAAAACATAGCGCCCAAAAGTTACTGGGTATTGAACGGTGGATTCTAACCCATCCCCAAAACTTAGGGTGCGTTTGTTTGCAAAGTATTCTTGCAGTTTTTTGGAAATACTGTGGTTTTTAGAAAAACTTTGGTATTACATATTTTGAGGTGTTCGGATGAAACAAAAACAGAAGTTTCACAAACTGTAGTATGCCAGAAACTATGGTTTTTTCGCAGTATCCAAAAAAGAGGTCCGGACCTCTTTTTTCTAAACAGAAGCGAGAGAAGTGATCGGAGATAGCGCAGTTCACGCTTCTGTCTACGTTCAGATAAAGATCAGATGTGCATGCGATCGCTACTATTTTGCCTCTTTCCGTTATCTTGTTAGCGAATCTCATTTTATCGCCTGATTAATAGGCGGCTCAGTTAAGATTGCATTCTCTTAATTGGTGTCCCGAGTCCTTCTGGCCGTCGTCACTTGCCGGTCGTTCTTTTCTCCTCTGCAGATGCAGACTAGCTAGCCGATTATATGCTGTGCACATAGACGCAGAAGGAGTTTTGTCCCGGCTGGATTGCACGCATACGCACCAGGCAAAGCTAGCTAGCCGATCAACCAGAGAGCATACAGTACACTCAAAAACTATTTTGTCAAGCACATGGACGTATAGGCATGCATCCGGCAGCTGTTAGCAGACGCTAATTAGCCCGGTCATGTAGCTCCTTCAGTGTAGTTGAGTTAGTTTCATTTGTCACCGCCTTACAATCGATCAAAACTGTAGTATAAGAACACAAGCCAAACACCTCGGTAGTTTTGGTAAAACTGAGAAAAATCATGGTTTATAAAAACTGTAGTATTCCTTGCTCACAAAACGGAATACTGAAAAGGCTGTTTGTGCGTTGAATAAAAGCTCTACAACTTATACGAGCCATCAGATATTTGCTAACAGTTATAGCAACCATGATGGCAAACAATGCGAAGTATAATAAAGCACCAAAGGCAATCATCGTATCCCTAGAATTCAGCTGCTCTTTCTGCATCATTCCCATCATCCTCCTTTCTTGTTGTTGCCTAAAATTTTCTCCTCTCTAGGTTGTTATTCTTTATGGCAAGATCCTGTCGGGTGACATTTTTTGCCCTGCCTTCCCATTCATTCAACCCACTTCACATATGAGTAGGGTGCAAGAGGCAGCTCGCCATAAACCCCTTCTTTCCAGCTTGTGAATCCTTCATCAGGAGAGTTCAACGCGTCTAGTTCATTTTATACTATTTTTTCATTTTTGCGGGCCTAGCAGGGCCTGCTCTTGCAACCCTATGCAAAAAAGCAAGCTAAAAAACTCCTCCCTGTGCCGCCTTCGTTGTTGTGAACACACTAAGCAGGGTTTAGGCCATGTCGGCATCCCGGTTGCTTCCTAGAGATGGCATTGAAGTCGGCATTGTAACCGAATTGCATGAGCACAAAATCAAATTCCGGTAACTCCTCGGTCTCCAAAAAAAACCTTTGGGGATGGGTTAGGTAGGCTTAAGCCCCGAAAAAAATCAGATTTCTGGGAACTACAGATTTTTTTGGCATCGATTAGAGATTCTAATGGAGGATTCATGGCCACTAGAGCTTCAAAGTTGAGTGAGCTACTGATATGTTCTTACGGCTGAAGCTTATGCCGCTTGGGATGGCATCTGGTTTGGTCAGCAGATGGGGCACTTCAGAGTTATCCTTCAGTTTGATAATGAGCAGGTTATATCGACTCTTAAGGCCGGAGGTTTTTTCGGCTACTGCTAGTTCTGCAATTTTTCATGACTGCTTGCTGCATGTGAGTGCTTTTGATGAGGTTTCATATGTACTACATATGTCCTAGGGAAGCAAATGTAGCGAGTTCGTTTTTAGCTAGTTCTGATTTTTGTACTTGGGTCGATGAACTCCTGATTTCCTCATGCAATCACTCATAAATGATGTATGGAGATCTTTGATTATGAATAAATGAAGCCTTGTGGCTTGTTCCCCAAAAAAGTAGGTAACTGCTTAAGAGTTAAAATACAAAGGATGCTTGTTACAAAAAAATCACTGAGAAACCTAGGATACGTAAAGGATGAAGTTCTTCACAGTATGTTCCTTTAGAAGAAATCATGATAGTAATAGTCTAGGAGATCAAATTTACTGCTGAATAAAGCAAATTGGCGATATAATGGGTAGAGGTGTGCTCAAATCAAACCTAATTTTACAAACCCGCCAGGCTGAAATAGTTTCCCCAATTTCTACAGAGAAGATAAGTATCAACAGATTAAAGAAACTTCATTTTTCTGCAGATCCAAATAAAATACCACTTCTAGGGGATGCCCTTGTTATTGCCGGGGCAGTTTGCTATGCATTTAGCAATGTCGGGGAGGTTGGTGATGTATTATATCGTGCTACTGTCAACAATATTGTCTCAAAACTCTAATAAGCATATCATTCCCTCGACTATGTAGGAATACTGTGTCAAGAAGAACGACAGAGTAGAAGTTGTCGCAATGCTTGGACTATTTGGGGTGCTTGTCAGTACAATTCAGATGTATCCTCCTCCACAGTTTATCGGCAGAGAAAACTGCCGTTATCCGTTGATATTTCTATCTATAGAGTCACTCTTATTCTTGCATTGTTAAACATCACTACATTGTTTTCCGGAGCAAATATTCATGTTACCTTTTAACCTGACAAAACATCAGACTTATATTCGAAAGGAAGAGCGTAGAAGCAATTGTTTGGTCTCCAATAATGGTAGCAAACTATAGTTTTGGTTTGTCTCTTTATCTGCAATACTCTTTTTTGAATTGTCCGACAGGAAGCTCACTCCTGCTTTATATTTTTATTTCCAGATAAGTTTGTTTGCAGGATACGGCATTGCAGGATTTATGTTCTACACCATTACTCCTTTTGTCCTCAAGGTTAAGTTCCCTCCAACATGTTTAATCAGATAGACCCTCTGTTCCTAAATGTAAGACGGACCGTCTTACATTTAGGAACAGAGGTAGAAATTAGCTACACAAGTAGGCAACAAAGAGAATCTGTCCAGTCAAGTATAAACAACTTATAAACATAATCTAAATGGGTAATATTAGCTCATTAGGAAGTATCAGCCAAAAGGCCCTTCCATTTCCCATTTCCAGTAGTAGTTTAGCTCTTTCTGATGACCATGACTCCTGCAGATGAGTGGAGCAACATTGCTTAACCTCTCGCTCTTAACATCTGACATGTGGGCAGTCGCCATTCGAGTATTTTTCTATCAACAACAGGTGACAATTTCTGTCTGGTCCTTGCAACAGATCATAATATGTTGCACTATATGCTCAAATGATTTACATGCAACCAACAGATAAACTGGTTGTACTATCTAGCATTCACAGTTGTGGCCATCGGATTGATCATCTACTCACTGAAGTAAGTTCTTTCAAGTTGTTCTAGATCCATGGGCAGATATGCAATTCATCGCAGAAACCTAACATGCTTAATTGCTTCCGATGTATGAAGTGAGAATTCTTCGGCTGATGCAACAGCTGCAAGTACAGAAGCAGCCGCTCACTATCAACAACTTCCAAGTGAGGATAACTCAACAGGAAGTGGTTCCAATTTGGACAGAAAAGAAAGGAAGCAACAAGAAGCTCACATCTGTTAAGGGAGCCAATGTACAAAGTCATCTCCACAGTTGCAATGGTCAATTTCTGATTGAGCCTGTGCTGCCACATCCTTGCAAGTAAGGGCAGCTGCTCAGGAGAAGCAACATAGATTTCGTGCTATGCCATTTGCGTGTAAATAAAAAAGTGTCTATGTCTTGGTCGACTGAGAATTAACTAATTCTCAGTTGATTTTACAAATTTGTGCATACAAATCTAATACAATGTTTACCATGATATAACAATTTATGCATCTAGTGCAATCATGCTCTCATAGTTTAGAGATATATGAAATCTTGCATGGATCTCAGTGTCAGATCAATGGTCCTTGGTATCGACTTAGATATAACTAATTCTCAGGCGGCTGAGAATTAGCAAACCCGGTCTTTCTCTGTCACACTAATTGATATTTCATGAACTTTTATACTCTACAATGAATCGGCAGGTTGAAGCAGTTTACTACTTCCCCTGCGCACATCTGACATCAGTTTGCATACGACTTAACATAAGATGCTAGTACTATGCATCACTTTTAGGTGTGAATCTTCCTTATATGCCCAACATGACAGGGAAATATGTTCTCTTCATCGTAAGTCTATCATAAGATACATCGCACCGGTAGCACTTCTCCTACCTTACTGAAACTCGGCATCTCGGATCACCATTCTTTAAAATCTTCTTCGTTTTCATCTGTACTAATTGATGTTCCTTTGTTTTCTCCGACTCATCAGCCGCAGTTATGTGATCAGCTGCGCAGCTTGAAACATTATCTCCAGTTGCAAGATCGACGAAACCAATTGTCGAGCAACAACCTCACCAGTTTTAGTATGTACATGACAGAAACATGACTCTTTTTTCACCTTCAGGATTTAACATCTATTGTAGATGAATCCACACATCATCTATAAGCGGGTTTCTTTTTCTCTCAAAAGGTAAACTTGGTTACGCCTATGTTGAGTTTGTGTGTATATAAATTCTTAAAATAACATATTGCTTTCATTACTGTAGTGAAGAAAGTTAATAAATTGCTTAAAACCAACACAAGGAAAGAAAAATTACAACATAAGAGCATCTCCAACGGTTATCCAGTAATCCATCCACAATATGCACGTATTGTGCAGCTGTACCCCCCTCCCTCAACCACCGCCTCTCCACCTGTAGGCTTAGAGTTTGCCAATATTCATTATTGATTGCTTTTGCAATCCGATTTCCTCTATTAATTTATTGTTTTTTTCACTGTAAGAACATGGCAAATGCTATACGCTAGCATAGTAATTTTATCTGTTTTCGCATGGCAAATCTAAAAATCTGACGTCAGTAATACAGATCTGATCGTTACATTTCCGTGTATTTTTTGTTCAAAAGATATCCACTAATACAGGTCCTCCGTTCCTGTCAGAGGAGAAACTTCATCATTTTTGATTTTTGGTGGCAGCACTTGTGTAGCAGTGCCCCGATCGATGTCCTCCCTGTCCCTGGCGACAAATCCCCATGCGCGATGTCCTGGAGCCGCAAAGAGCCGGCCCGAAACAACTGACGTCTCACCTGCTCAAAACCCCTCGTGACAATGATCACGACGCTTCACATGCACGGGCAAGGCGATGTCGGGCCTTCTTCTCCGTACCGTACCACGATGCAAACAGTGTCGTCGTTGGGGGTTGACGACCGATCGACCCCTCCTCCTCCGCTGCTCCACGTTTCTCCGTACCGCGACGCACGCCATAGCCTGGTGGCCGGACCACCGGTCATCGCGGCGCCGTACCACATATGCCCGGACCCCGGAGGCACCCGGTCCCTCCACTGTTCCGCGGTCAACCGCATGATGGACCGCGTCGCTGGGCAGATCGAAGATGGTCCGGCCGGCCCGTGCATGCAATGGACCGAAGCAACAGCGAGGCGCCACCTTGTTCGCAGTACTACCTCCGTCCGGGTTTTTAAGTCCCACAGACCAAAACGCATGGACCAAGGCGCTCTCTGCTGTACCAGCGCTGAGATATGGAGCGGCCAATGAGCTTCGCGCAGTAGTCACTGCATGCATCGAATTCCTTCACACGCGTGCATGCCTAGTACTAGTACTCATTCTCTCTCCCTTGATTACTTCGCTCTCTCTCCCTTGCATGCATGCAGCGCATGATTACTCCCTCTCTCTCCTTTGCATGCAGCGCACCTCGAGGTAGTGGCCTTGTAAATATGGTACAGGCGTGGGGTGATGAGGGGACCTAAAAACCCGGACGGAGGTAGTACGTACGTTCGGGGCGCCGAGGAATTGGCCACGCGCTGCACGCCGTGGAAATAGATAGATCGATAGATCCTTAGCTCGAACCGTACTTATCTGCGGTCCGCACGCCACGAGGCCTGTCTGTCCGTCCGCTCTTGAAGATAGGCCAATGGTGTTGCATGTGTTCCGTAGGTTCACAGGTCTCCGAAAATCATACTCCGGTAGTTCATGGCCACGTACGTTCGGGGCTTTGGCCGACCGCGCGCACCCAGAGTATCGCCGTCGTTGCGGCGCAAGTCAGATCCCCATTATGTCTTGTCTGGCATCCGGTTTAGGGCACAAGCTTAGTTGCTGCGACTCTACCGGTTTCGTGATCCTAGCTTGCCCACTAGACAAGTACGTCAGCATGCATCGCCGGCTGGTGAGAACCACTAGCTAGCTGGACTCCTCCGGTTTTCAGGGCTGATCAAGAGTGTGCGGCGGCCGCTGTCGCGCGCAGTGATCATGAAATTTACCAAGGCGGTTCGGCAACAGTAGAAGCTAGGAATGACCGAACCTGCTGTGCTTGAAGCAATGGGCAATTGCGATAAGCGAGGCTCTCTCTTTGGCATATTGGAATGCCTCGAGGTGATCAAGCATTTGAATTCTGGGAACATGCTTACTACCAGTTATGGCGCTGTTCCCAAGGAAACTAACAAAAAAAAAGGCTTCATTTCCTCTTTGACCACGAGCGGCGAGAATTGAGTAGGCCATGTACAATGGTTCATAAAATAGTCTTATCTTAACTCTTACATGTAATTTAAAGATGACAAAAAAACATGTCTACAATGGGTCATCTCTTAGCTTTATCTTCAACAACTAGTTATTCTTAAAAATGTGATGAGACATAGGTGGTGTTTGGTTCTCTAGTCCTAGGACTTGTTTTAGTCCCAACTAAAAAGTCCCTAGTCCCTAAAAAGTCCCTTCCTGTTTGTTTTCAGAGACTAAAAAGTCTCTAGTCCCTTTCTAGAGGCTATTAAATGACCATGTAGTAACAGTCGGACAAGTGGGTAATGTTGGGGTGAACCAAAAAAGTTTGGGTAGAGCCGGATCTAAGTGTTGGCTAGGTAAAAGCCCCGTAATAAGAGGGGTAGTTATGAACCCTGTGGACCACCCCCATGGGGGCGGTGAAGGGAAAGCTCCCATTGGTAGAGAAAAACCCACAACCCCTTGGGGTTATCCTGCGCTTGGAAGAAGAACTAGGAAAAGGAAAAAAATATAGCGATAGTTTTATTCTTCGTCGCCGTAAGTAAATACGTAACTAGGAATATGGAAAATTGCATTTTTGGAATTTGCAATAATGCGATGGGCGAACGACGGGAATTGAACCCGCGCATGGTGGATTCACAATCCACTGCCTTGATCCACTTGGCTACATCCGCCCCTTATCCAGCTAAATGATTTTTTTCTTTTTTCCATTGATCATTATTCTATTTATTTTGACCTCCGTACTTCGATCGAGATATTGGACATAGAATGCCACTCTTTAAAAAGGAAAAAAGGCTAGTATATAGAAAAATAACAATCAAACAATATCATGGGGTGGCGGGCCAATGGGTGCATGGAGGGGCATTGTTGGAAAAGTCCCAAAAAGTCCCAAAAAGACTCTCCTTGAGAGTCTTCTTCATTTAGTCTGAAATGCCTAGTTTAGTCCCTAAAAAGTTCCTCCCATTTGGTAAAAAAGTCTCTAAGAGGGACTTTTTCTAGTCCCTACATAAAAAAGTCCCTGGAAACAACACCCCCATATTGTGCTAAGGGTTACGAATGCATGGGAGGTGGCGAAGATTAGAGGTTCTGGTACTATTCGGGATTGTCTATAAGCGGTGGTTGAGGATCTTACTGACTGGAGCAGGAATGTTCTTGGGGATCTAGCTAAGAGAATTAAGACATTAAAAGTCCAGCTGGAAGAGTGCAGGAGGTCTGTTTTAAGTTCAACATCTATACATAGAGAACATGTTTTACGCTTCAAATTAGAGAGGTTGGAGGAGCAACGTGACCTAATGTTCAAACAACGAACACATATTAACTGGCTGACTAAAGGGGACCGAAATCAATTTTTTTCAAGCTTATGCTAGTGAGAGGAAACGGATGAATACCATTAAAAAGTTGAGGAAGGAGGATGGTGAGGTGGTGGAAGGGGAGGAGGATTTGAAGGCTCTTGTTACTAACTATTTTTTTCTTTGTTTACCTCCGTGGCAGGTTTCCCTTATGGTGATTTCATCAACATCATTACACCAAAGGTCACACACCAAATGAATGATTTTCTGATGGTGGATTTCACGGCTGATGAGGTCAAAAAGGCCCTTGATGGCATTGGCGATCTCAAGGCACCCGGAGTAGATGGTATGCCGGCGATTTTCTACAAGAAGTACTGGGATCTAGTTGGGGATAATGTGGTACAGGAGGTGCTTAATGTGTTGCAAGGTGGCAGTATACCGGAGGGATGGAACGATACCATTGTGGTGCTTATCCCGAAAGTAAAAAACCCAGAAAAATTAAAAGATTTACGCCCGATTAGCCTATGCAACATTGTGTACAAACTTGTGTCCAAAGTTATCGCCAACCGTTTGAAGTGCATCTTGGGGGAGATCATCTCGGATAATCAGAGCGCCTTTGTGCCGGGCAGATTGATATCAGATAACACTTTGTTAGCATATGAGATGTCACATTTTCTCAAAAGGAAAAGATCGTTATCAGTGGGATACGCTGCGTTAAAACTAGATATGAGCAAGGCTTACGATCGTG